TAAACCTTTTGGAATGTACATGTCTAATAGTTCTTTAAATTAATCTTCCTGGGAAAATATACATTTTGCTCAAGAGTGCACAAAATAGCTTTATTTTAGAACTGCCTTCAGGGATACTTTATAAGGAAAAAATAACACACACACACATTATATGCTATGTTTGTATGTGACCACAGGCATGAAAGAATATAATCCCCTGAGCTGCTGTAGATGGATTATGGGGACAAGGAATGAGTATGAATCATGAAGGGTTACAGGGAATATGTAACATATATGTTAGAAATTATGTCAAGAAAAGGAATATAACAGATACTACTCACATAAAGGGTCAAATTCTCTTCTAAAACCTGATGAAAACTCCCATTTGCTTGGTTCCAGCATTTCAGCATAATTATATTCATGCCTTGCTTGTCAGACATAATATCTACCTGTTTTAATAAGGGCAACACAGGACATCTGCGTGGCCTCCTCTTTACTGGTCTTGTCTTAGATATATTTTTTATTATGATAAAATAGCACTCATGTCAAAATGCCTAAGTATCATAGCAATAAATATATAATAAATACTTATATCTAGAGTGAACCTTGACATATATAAGATATCATTTCATGATTTATGTGTCTTTTTTTTAAAGTGTTGGCTGGTATCCAGTCAGAGGAATGCGTAAGATATTTATCACAGAGCAAACTGAAAGAAAGAAAAAAAGAAAGAGAAAGAAAGAAAGAAAGAAAGAAAGAAAGAGAAAGAAAGAAAGAAAGAAAGAAAAAAAGAAAAGAAAGAAAAGAAAGAAAGAAAGAAGAAAGAAAGAAAGAAAGAAAGAAAGAAAAGAAAGAAAGAAAGAGAAAGAAAAGAGATGTAAAACAGACAAGACAATCCAGAGAAGTAACTAAACAAGTCTCAAGTCTTATTTCCTCAAAGAAAACAATTTCCTTCACCATGTCCCCTATCCTAATACTTAACACACTACATTACTGTTTATTTGAATATTTCACTCCCCGGCACCCCACACTGCAAGTTCCACGAGGACACTAAATGTTGTTTTCGTAGTGCCAAAAATAGTGCCTGACACAAAGTAAGAGTCCAGTATGATTTGCTAAATGTATACAAGCACAGATCATATTTCATTAAACTAAATACTGAATGAAGAAAGAAGTCTCTTAAAATTTCTGCTCATATAGATTTGGCAGAATAAATATGAAAGATATGAGTATTAAAAATGTATCTAGAGTGATATGAGTATTAAAAATGTATCTAGTTTCTATTTTAACTAGAATTATAATTCTAGTTAAAATAGAAACTCTTAGGCAAGGGACAGAGATCTATGTCGAATGATCTCACCACAAAAATACCTGAAAATACTTTGGAAAATTTCTGTGTATCATTCAGATAGTGATGTGACTAGAGATTTGCCCTTCTATTAAATAGGCAGTGGTCAGAATACTTCAAAAACGATAAAAATATCCAAGTAACTGTGTTGCATTTTATTTTTATTAATCATAGTTTTATTTTACCAGAAAATCTGTGGTAATATTTAAAGTCAAAATGGACTTGGAAGAAAATTATCAATACCTTCTTATTTTTTTGTTTGCTTTTTTGTATTTATGAAGAAAATTCTATTTTAGAAACCACTTTTTTCTTCCAATAAAAAAATCCCATAAAGTTACTGGCAGAAGCAAGTCTTATTTTGATGCTAGTATGAAAAAACTCTTGGATTTTTTAAAAGGCTCACAAGTCCTCAGTGCATGAATGTACCATTTATTAGCAACAGAAATTGTTTAATGCATTTCTGAATTTTTTAAATGTCTCAAAAGATACAAGAACAAATTTTGTAAGCCTTGATTTTCTTATGGTTAAGCTTCTCAAAACACTTTCAGTGAAAGTAGACTATCTGATGAGCAGAGATAAATCATTCTGACAGAATTTTTACTCACCTTTGTTGCTTGTTCCATTGTACAGGTATAATACATATACTATACACCCCAGGTATATTTCTGCTAAGCTATTGAGTACTTGCACCATAATTATATGAGGCAAATAATTCTTATAACACATAGATTTCCCACGTAAATGTCATTGTTAACCAGGCAACAAGCAGGTAAATTAGTATGATTAATATTTACACTGTATATTATAACAAACACAGATGACTGCTTTCATAAATGCATGCAAATTATAGTGAGACATGAGAAAGTCTTCAAATTTTAATATGTAAATGATTATATATACTATGCTCTAAAAAGTATAGTTTTGTTTTGAATTCTTCTAAAGATTATTAGCTATTCAAATATATCGTTAAAATTTTTGTACCAGGAAGGCCAATCATATTTAATATGATGTAAGTTTAGAGATAAACCTACATATTTTTTCTTTCTTTACACTCCATTTTTTGCTTCCCTAAATTCCTCGGGGAAAAAAAAAAAGCAGTAAAAAAAAAGGGAGTAAAAAGGAAAACATATTTTAAAGTATGTCATCTGCACACTTATGTTTTCATGTGTACCTATATTTCCTGCTATATTAAGTGTCTCAAGAGCAGAGACTATATTTTTATGATGCCAGCTATTTGGCTCCAGTTTGAATGGATCCAATATAGGTTCATCCAAGATAACAGGAAAAATAATGACATAAGTAAAAGTCTCTGTGGTTACTTCTCATTAGTGGGCACTCTAAATGGTTATAGTACACATAGATATATTATTATGCAGAAACTTGGTAGCTTTGACATCTAAGTTATGGCCCTCACCTAATGTGAAATAAATGTTTTCATCACCACACGAGGAAGGAGTAACAATTTGTTTCTTGATGGTTCTATTGTGAGTACTTTAGAATAGGACATAGGTTTAATAGTTTCCTCGATAAGATTCTTCTCTATTCTCTTATACAATTGAGGACAGGTGGAATACTTTCAAAATCTGGAGAATACCCAATGTGCATATGCCATCTTGATTAAACATGTGGAATACAGGCTTGGAGAAAAGCCAACTGGAAACCTAAACACTCGAGCTGAGAGATGTTAATATATAAAGATCAGCATTGTACTTTGAAGTTTTTCTGGACTTCATTTGGCCTAATTAAGACAAGATTTAATAATCAAACCACTGTACAAACATGTACCTAAAGTATAGGTTTGTTTCTAATTTTAGGAAGAATTCTTAACAGATTCCAAGGAATCAGCTCCACATGAAAGAAGGTCTCTGATAAGATTTGCCTTTCTTGTTATTAAAATGCAAATGCCTGCGTTTCATCTTAGTTTCTTCCAGGTGACTGAGCTTAGCATCATCTGTCAAAATGTAAGTGTGATACTAAAATATAAAGATTCTGATACTCGCATACCATTTGAGTCTGAAACAGTGGCAACTCTAGGTTTCTAGGTTATAAAAAATGTATTCCAAAATATTCTCTAAGGTATTCATAGGACTCTAACTAACCTAATTCCAGATCAAAATGTTATGAGGCAAAAGATAGGGATTCCTAATCTTTCCTTCCACATCAGTTTTTGTCCCTCGACACTAGATGATTTTTCAAGAATACCTGGCAGGTTCGAGCTGTGCTGAGAGACTACAAAACAAACCTAACTGGACCATAACATAGCAAACATATGCTGTCACATTCAAGTCAACAAGTATTATGTGATTATACAAGAAGGAAGTTGGTTCTCCTATGATGACACTTATTTGATACAAAGTGATTTGATAAATTTAGAGAACTGCTGTAGCAATAAGATAGGCATTAATCTGATGAAAAATAGAGTCTGGAGTATAGTGAAATATAGTCTGCGGTATAGAGAAATGTGGCAGGACAGGCAGCTGCCACTGCCGGCCATCCCCTCACCCACCTCGAATGGCACACACATCCACCTCATCTCTGAAAGCATCAAAGGGCTGAACTAGAAGAACTTCTGTTCAGTAGTGTGATCTTCAGCCTATGCTTCCTTCGTGGCTCAGCTTCATGTGGTGGAGGCCAAAGAGAAAAGAAAAACTCTAGCCCTACCTGCAATAAGGTGAGCATATGATAAAGACCCCCTTCTCCTACTACTATTCAAATGACGATTAGACCTTTGCCCATGAGGTTTTGCTTTGTTCATATCACAATTCCATGAAACATTTTAATACTAAACCAATTTTTAGCTATCTATCAGTAAACAGAACATCATTTCTCAATATATTGCCTCTATAAGATACTCGTAGGTGGTAGAGTAACAAAAGAGAGTACATAGAATCTTGATACTCTGGAACTTAACATTTTCCAGGAATGAGAAGAGTCTGCTTTGTAAGCCTACCATAGCAGAGAAGAGAAGCAAAACTGTACAGACCAGTTTTGCTTACAAATTCATTGAAAATGCTTGACCAGCCTGTCAAGCATTGATATTGGTCTATTGTAACCAATGTTTCTTTCTGGTTGCCTCGGCAGGAGCGCTTCTCAGGATGTGGTGTGATACAGACATTCCTGTCCATTTCAGCCACAATAAGGCTGCTAAAAAAAAAAAAAAGAAAGAAAGAAAGAAACTCCCACAAGTTTCTGAGAAACTGTGTTAAACACTGGAATGAAGTGGAGCTTACTAAATTATAATATATAACATGGGTACATCCAGGTTGCTGAAAAATGCCTTGTCGGCTAATTTTGTCATATCTGCCAGCACCTGTGCAAACTTTTTGAGATGTCAATCCACCACATTCAACCCCACCTTGAGCCTTTTCTGCAATACTGAGAAATGAGGCTCTGCACACATGTGACTGTATGTACTTATGTATTAAAATAGGGGCTCAGTCATAAAAAGACCTTGCTGATCTAGAATCTCAATTTTTCTACAAACATCCCACGAAAGTGCTGGTGAAAATCCTAATATTGTGGTGGTGTCCTGGAGCCCTGACAGCAGGGCTAGGATGGCAAACTCCTTTTGACTGTGATCTATACAAACGTTCTCTTGAATGTTCGGTTCAGTCAAGAGAAGCCCTATTTCCACACTGGCGGTTATGCCGTTTCAACTTGGGTGGGGGCTTACTTTGTTCATGTGGATCTGCTGCTGGTATTGCTTCTGCTTCTCCAAGAATTGCTGGTGTTGCTGCTGAATGACCAGCTGAGCCAACGTGCTCTGAGGCAAAGGTGCAGACTGGGTTCGATTCAGGGGTCTGTGACGAGGTAATTTGTGAGTACCTCTAAGGCCAGGTGAAATTCTCTCTTTTGTTGCCAAGGGAGACTGAGGATGTAAAGGAACTCCACCTGAAATAAATACAAACACACACACACACACACATGCACAATTTTGTTTAATAAGAAGCCACATAAAACAGATATACCGGATAAATTTTATGAAAAGTAGTCATTCTACCAGGCAAACATCAGAAGAAGGATAGGTTGGATGGAGTAAAGGTTAAAGGTAGAAGTGCCAAAGCATTGGATAGGCATGCATCTGACCAATGACTCACCAGTAGTCGACCCTAGTATGTATGAAGGTTAAACAGGTCAAAGATCTAGAGGAATAAATAACGATAATAGCCTTTCCTCTAGCACTAGGTATCTGAGAGAGCCATGTATGATACGGTAAATCTTTACTAGAGTCTTGAGTTAGAAAGACATTACAGTAGATCACTGATAAAATAAAAGCCCCCAAGTGATTCACACATAGTGTCTTTATTAATTACCAGCCACGAGAAGCTTCTGTTGTCGCATTTGTTCTTTCAGTAATAAATGCTGCAGGAGAGCTTGGTGGCTGCTGTTGGGCTTTCCCTCTGAAGTGACATGGGGATGGCTGGAAGACGCTGGGATGCTGGCCCCATACTGCCCAGGCAGAGGAACGCCTTGCCTGAGCGTCTGGGGTTCGCACTTCTGTTTTTCTTTGAGTGAATTTGAAGCCTGTGTCAAGAAATAATAAAGCTGTTAATCCTCTTTCATGCATGTGGGTCATTAGGTCTGTATATCATTAGGTTAGTTTTTTATTCTACAGTTTACCCCCCTTCCTGCCCCCCCCCAAAAAAAACCATCTTACCAATAACTGAGTAGAGGAAATGAATAAAGGTATGTCTTTTAAACAAACTGAATTAACGGAGAAGATAAAAAAATAGAGTTGATGCACTGGAGACAGTTTAGTATTGGGTATCATTGTATTGAACTTAATAAAAAGATTTTTAACATTCCAAATGATGTTAATCTCAGGCTTAATAACTGGGAACTTTGCTTCTGAAATATTTTAATATGCTGCTTAAGTTAAAGCTATATTGAAAAAGTAAAATTTATTCAAACTGCTAAACTAATGACTATATCATAGTGATTAAGAAGCTGGAGATAAAATGGCCTGTAATTTTGGAGTCTCACACAGAAGAAATGTTCACTTTTCTCTACATGTCCCCGAATAAGTTCACAGCACTGTAAATTTCCAATATTTAATTTTTAAAACAATTCTTCAGATAACTCAATGTGAGGTTATATAAAATATGCAGGAATTTGATTTAAACATGTATTTTATATTAATTCATAACAGATCCCCAAATCTTGAAATATTGAAAATTACACTCCAGACACTTTTGTTTAATAAAATAAACTACAAGTGAAATTACATCAAATAAAAACGCTATTAAGAACTTGAAATATATGATAACACAGTAATAAGGTAATAATAATTATATCATCAATAGTAATAATGAATTATCCCATTCAAAGAATTTAATGAATGGTGGTCATTTTAGTATTACAAAAGCAGAAGTCTAATACCTCGAAATTATGTGGCATGTTTCTTTTCAAAACTCATGCTTCATCTTTCAAAATTGCTGGGCACGAGGGAAGCAAAGCAATTTCCAGTGATGAAGAAATTAAAGGACAAAGAGGTAAATGGTTTGTCTTAGTCACACAGCAAGTCAATGCAATGTTTAATCTAAAAATGATTTCTTCTCCTGGCTTCTTTTCCTTAGCATTTCCCACTACTCAGCGGGGAAATGGAATATTAGACATCCCTTTGCCAAAGCAATGCTAAACTTGAAAAATTAATTGTGATGGCATCATCCACACCAAAATGGAAGCAAAGAAAAATGAAACTTCAGTCCAAACCACATTGGTTTACTCATCCAACGGTACCAAATTGTATTTACCATAGAAACATTAAATGGTCTGGCTTTGGTACTTGGTCCTTTGAGAAAAAAATTCTCCCTGACCACATTAAAAGTGGTGTGTGTTTGTGTTAGCTGGCAGGAGTGATTTAGAGCATGCAAAAAGGAGTGGATATAAAATGCCTATTCATGTGTCATAACAAGTTTTTGTGTTAGGATTTGCTTATCATCAGAACAGAAAGGAAAAATAGGAACAGAATAAAAATAATTTTTAATAAGTTAAGATTTGAAAATATCATCCACAAATTTTTATCTTTAGTTTCACCCCTAATTCCTTTTTTTTTTTTTTTTTTTGTGAAAATCAATTGTTTACAAATGCTTCATGTGGACTTTCAAGGCATTCTTGAATTTGGTATTTTTAAGCTTTACTTGTTTAATCCCCAGACATAAAACAACATTCGAATTTTGCTTTCTCCTCACCGGTATAAAATTATAGTATCACATAAGATAACATTCTACTCTATTAGAAACATCAAATATATAAGATGTCACTTAGATTGATTTTATAATATGTATTGAACACAATTATAAAATTTATCATTTAAAATTTTCACTATTATGTGTGCTTGTACATAAATTAGCATACCATTTACAGGTCTTATATTCTGAAAATAAATTAGTCACAATATGGTCAACTGTTTATAATTTTCTATTGTGGGCATATTGTAAAAGATATGAATTTGACAAGTGGAAGACTTGCTGCTAAAGACTGATAAAACTAGTGCCCAGGGTTAGGACAAATTTCCCTTTAAACCTAATGTATCATATGACCTTTACATAAGTACAATTTAATTTACTAACGACTCACAGAGATGTTATTCTGGGTAAAGCTTACAAATCTTTTACAATGACTAAAATTTATATTATTTTAGGGAACATGTATAAAATAATTATTGCTATCTTCTGCTAGCAGGACAATTACCTCCAAAATATCCTATTTCAGTTGTCAGGACTTTTAAAGTAATTGATTCACTTTGAATCTCCTGGGAAGAGTTTAATATTGTTCTTAGAGAGATTTTCCAGATACGTATTCTTCAGTAACCACAGAGTCAGTAACTTAAATTCCCAGAATAAAGTCATTCACAAAATAAATTCTATAAACATATGCTGCTGTGCTTTAGATAGAAGCTACACCTCTCAGCACCGGCCTGGGTTGAGTTCTATGTCTGCTACTTACTGGCTCGGTGATCCTGGACTTTTAAACATTCCTTACTCTCTGCTTCTTTTTTAAAAATGTGGCTTATAATCTCTGTTTCATGGGATGCTTGTGTGGAGCTAATAAAATATCTGGAAAGTGCTTTCTTTTTAACATGCTATGAATCATTACTTCAATGTTCTTTTCATATATTATTATGTGAACTAGTGTAACTCTTTAATTTGAAATTAATATCTTTGAGCAACTCAGTAAACAGTGAAGGAGAGTGTACTCTCCCAAGTTTTCCTGAAGTCTAAATATACAAGAAACGAAAAAGAGTTCCCCTGTAAAAATATCGCTTGGACTATTTAGGCTGCTGCTGTGTAAATACTTACATTGAGCTGGGTTGGCACTGCTGGAAGTCCCAAAGTAATATTGGGTAAAGAGGGAGAGGTATAAAGACTTAGCAGGTTCATGGAATCTTCGTGAATTAGAATGCGCTGCTGTGAAACCATCTGCTGTAACAAAAAGAAAAAAGAAAAAAATGAAAGGGGAGTCTCAAAATATTATAATATCACAAATTTTGCTGTGAAATGTTCACATTTCAGACAACAGGTTTTATATTATCATAATCAGTCAAAATATTTTTAACTATTTTAATCATTTATTTTATGATTTCTGTATCCCGAAGTTATATGTAAAAATTGTATCAAAATTTTCTTCATCAGACATAATTATAAAATCTGAAAACAGGGCTTCCATATTATTCATTTTGAAAAATTCATTTTTAAAAATTCTAGCATTATGGACCAAAATCAGTGTGCCTGTCATCAACTGGTAAAGTATGATTAAATGGAGTAATTCTTATGAGTATATATACTCTTTGGCATTAGTGAGTGATAAAATATGTATATAATGTTATTGTGATCATTATCTTCGTATGGATTAAACATCATTTTACTGATGGGAAACTCACACAAGGAAATTTTAGATTAAATATCACTGTATAGGATTTGTATAATAAATCATATCTTTTTAATATAAAATTTATGAACGGATAACTGTTTTTTTAAGAACATTCATATTCAGAAACAAAAGTAAATGTTAAAGTGTTATAAGTTTCCTGTGCCACAATAGCTTTCATTTACACTGAAATACTGTGAACATTTTGGCAACACAGTCCTTTTTACAACAAATACTTTTTTTAAAATCCAATTCTGAGTCATGTTTTCCCACATGTGGCCTAATATGGTTGCTTGAATTACATTTTCTGTTTAATTCTTGCTTCCCTCCCAGAACTCTTATACAATAAGAGTTACAAAGGTCTTATTAGACTAAGGAACTCTGGCCTGATATGGTTCCCAAGGGAACAACATCCCTGAAAAAGAATACTCCATGTAACAGTATGACATAGTGACTGCTTTCTTCCCAAACAAAAAGCATATGGGACTCCAATAATAGACCACCTCCAAGAGGGATATTGCACACACGGGCTTTGACTAAAGTAAATATAATAACTTGTCAAGCATGTTTGGGGGAGCTGTAGATTTTCCCTGGACAAACCTGGGATATCAATTAACTGGAGAAAATATCATGGGCTAATACAATGCAACCTCAGAGTGTCACTGAAGAGTGATGTGCCACCAAAACACAGGATGTTATCCCAAAACATCACCTCAGTCATACGTTTGTTTGGAGATGGGTTGTAGCCTTAACATAATAAAAGCAGAAGGTTAAACGTGGATTTCTCTCATTGCAACTTGGAATTCCAAAAGCTAACTCGGATTTTGTTGTTGTTTTTTTTTTTTCCTCTAAAGAGCAAGTCAGATATTTGTACATGAAAATAAAAAAAAATTACAGAAACTTTTAATATTATGTTGACTTTATATGCAACCCTTTACAAAGATGTCAAAACGCCATAGCATGAAGATTGTTGCAAAAGATTTTATCAGTGCAATGAATGAGATTGCAATTTTATTTTAGGGGCTATCGGCAACAGTTGCATACTTGCTCTAATTAAGAAGGTAAGCTACTATTCTGTTCACACTGATATACTTTTAACATAAATTTTAAGTACAGAATACCAGAACAAGAACAAAAAGAATGTACAAGGAAATAAATTTTTTTAACTAGCTTATTGGCAGCAACTGGTAACATAACAAAGAGATATTTCATTTGCTTATCTGTATTCACAGAAGAGGAAAAAATGTGGGAAAATATGCACTTTAAATGATGTATAACATTCATTTAAGGTTGCATCTGCTTCTCAGAGCACCGTGGGAATGATAGCAAAAGATGTCACAGACTTTACTCAAGAGGTTATCTTTGTTTCCCAGAGAGAGCTTCTGTGATACTCTCCCACCTTCTCACAGGAAGTAAACCTCTACTAAAATGAGAAAAAGGTTTCTTCTCAGAGGTGATATTGGCAGCAGCACACTGGGTGCTCACACAGGCTTTGACTAAAGTGAAGGAATTTGGGAATACTGTCATTATGGGATTTCAGACCCCTGTAGTTTCATATCAAAACTAAGTGGCTCCATTCCCTATGACAGAGTATTGATTTTCTGCACCTACCATGTGCCAAGCCCTGTGCTAGGGATTTTTTGGATGGTAACCTATTCCTCATAGGCACCTTCCGGCTATCATTATGCTCATGTCACGGATGAAGAAACTGAGTCATTTCCCCAATTCTGGTTCCTAGCGGGATCAGCAATAAAACTTTTAAACTGATCAAGGCTTTACGATCTGTTGTCAGGCCCTCCTGCAGAAGCTACACACCACTCTGCAGCCATTATTGAAGGATAAGGGAACCTTTAAAAAAGTAGTTTGGAGAAGGGGGAAGCTTTAGAGAAGTAGGTCCTGAGGTTTATAGAAAAGTATCAAAGTATATACCACTGGGAGCTAGCTGACCTGGTCATGAGAAGGAAGTAGAGGTTGTGGTGATACTGTAGATGTGAGGATCTTAAGTCGTGAAGTCAAACTCTAAGGAAGCAAGGAAAGTCCTGAATCCACCTAGTTCACTAGGTATAGTGAGTTCTTCCCACAGAGACTAACTGGTACAGTATCATATCATAGAACTTGAGGGATTAGGGTGTTGCTTAGTTTATTTCTTTTGATTACAGATAAACTGGCACAGCATTTATATAGTCTTCCAATGCCTAGACTCACAAATGACTTAAAAAGACCTGAAAAAACTATTTCTCTCAAATTATCTTCTTTGACTATAACATTCCTCAATTTGGCTTTTTGATGGGAGCAGTCTATCAGTTCCAGGTTAAAGTTTCTTAATAAGAATCTGGAGCTGTATTCTACACTGCTTAAAAGACTGCTGACAGAGTTGAAAGCCAAAGAAACAGGTGGCGAGAGGTAGCATTTTGCTCAGACAATGAAGAGTCCTGACTAGTATTCTTGCAAGGCTGGCAGGTGACCCCACCTTAGCATTGTAGTGAACTCACGTGTATTTTCACACAAAACTGGGATTTTTCCAGGAAGCAGTTTTGAAACTGATCCAGCCCTAAACTTAGTGCTGTGCTGAGATGCCAACATTTCACATCTTAAAACATGGGGAAGATGGTTTTAATTTAAAAAATTTTCAGAACCAGAAACTGTTGCTGTTCATTAGATCAAATGGAAATATTAAATGTATAAATGGATATCACTTGACATTCACAGAACAATGAATGAATAACAATTAAGTTAGATTAACAGTGTTAGGTGTACAAAGATGTCCTATACCACCCAAGTTTGCATGTTATTCAGGTGCACAGAAAAGTAGAGAACTAATTGTAATGATGTATAATCATTGCTATAATTATAGTAGGGTTAAAACACTTCAATGGCGCAGAGCAGGGTGTCAATTTTAAACCAGGCTTTGATGGGTAATTACCATTTCACCAAAAAGAGCATGATGTTGGGAAGAGGAATATGACTGAGCCAGGTGTTGGGGCAGGAGCAGCCTACTCATATTTTAGTAATGACTTTCACATTATAATTACTTTTCTCACCATCCTAGCAATTGGAAGCCTATCTTATGGATAACATCTGCAATTTAATGAATAAAATACACATAAACTGAAAAATTATATGTCTTTCAATAGAGCTATTTATTTTGCTATAGAAATAAAAAAGTTATTAGTTTCAATCAAAATATTCAGAATGCTGTACACAATGGACACCGACAAAAATTAGAAAAATGGCAATGGCAAATGTTACAGGGATTTAGAATGGTAAAAACCATCACAAATTGCTGGTGGAACTGTAGACTGGTATAACTATTCTGGTGAACGACTCAGCACTATAAACAAAATAATTACACTACATACTGTGAGGGTTCAGAATGAATCACTATAAGCTATGCCTCTGTGGTAAACAGATTGTTTTGAGCGAAAGGCAAGTTTAGCCTAAGGCTCAAGAGATGCTTCTGCCCCTCCCTTAAGTACCTAGAAGAACTTGAATTAGGGGTCTTGCCCATAATAAATTATCTGAGATAACATGTTTTGACAGACCTATAGGGCAGACAAACTTCTATTTACTAAGTATCTGCTCTTGTGATCATCCTGCAATGACCCTTTGATGTCCCAAGGTGCATTACCTCATCCCTAGCTCAGGATACCTTACATACCCATGGTCCCTTTTTATCTCTGAACCTCCTTGCATGTGGGGTTTCTGACTTTTATGTATATGGGGTTCCCATACATACGTATGTATTAAATTTGTTTATTTTCTCTTGCTAATCAGTCTCAGGTCTATTTGATTATTAGACCAGCGAGAAGAACCTTGAGGGTAGAAGAAAGTTTGTTCCTCCCCACAACACCATGACTCACCAATTCTTCTGCAGGGAACTATACCTTCAAGAAATTCTCTGACTAAGTTTGTAGGGTGATGTCTTTCTGTATATATTGAAAAATTGAGGCAACCGAGTCACCCACTAGAAAATGGATAGGTAAAATGGAACAGTTCTCACCATAGATTGTTATGGTGATTAAAAGCAAACTGTTTGTTATATGCATCATAATGACATGATAGCATCTAAAAGCACATACTTAGTGATAAAAATAAGAAATGGAATAAGTTTTAAAACACCATGCCATTTATACCCACTAAAATTCATGAGTACAAAGTAAAAAATGCATAACCCAAGATTATTTTACTATAAAATGGTTTGGAGGCAAAAAATTTATTTGACAAGGCTTCTTTTTCATTTAAAAGGCACTGATGTTTTGTTAAAGGTCTTGCTTTACTATATTGACTCATGTTATTCCTAGTAAATGATTCTTTTGTCATAGCAACCTCCTTTCCCCCAGGGTGGGGAAAGCGTTTTATTTGCTGCCATCTAAAACCATAACCATACACCCCCTCAGAAAGGAGCATAACATTTATAACAAATGTCACAACAACTATTATGAAACAATAGGCAGATGAGTCATGTGAGACTGGGGTAAAACAGTGACATTTCAGATGATTTAAGAGGACCTAACCTTATTATTAGAATCCTTTTTAAAAATTGTTTGTATCTGCTGGAAAAATTATTTAAAAAAAAGCACACCAGAGCCAGCCACTAATTTTCAACTCGAAATAAACCAGCTGCTTGGCTACTGTTAAAATAGCTATCAAATAAATCTACTGAATCTAAAATAATGGTGTTGATATTCATGGAAACATATTCGAACCCACAAAGCCCACAGTATCAACAATAAAGTAACTAGATAGGTGAAGACATCTCTGACTGGAGTTGGAAATAGATACTCCTGAGGTTTCAGCTCCCCAACCAAGTTTACAAAGGAGGAAAGCAAGTAGCTCCAACAATCTGAGTTCGAGACTGAACATATACGTAAGAAATAGAAGAAATGGAACAGAAGTGGTCAGAGCAGATGGAGACTCACTCTCACATAAGATTTGCTGGCTCGAAGACAAAAATGCTAATGAGTTTTCCTTATTAGGGAGTCAGTATTGACAACAACAACAAAAAATGAACTTGCTTGCACTTGCAATTTACCGTCTGCCTTACAAACACGCTTCCTCACAACAGGCTGTCCGGGTCAGCATTACCACCTTCCTCTAGATAAGCAATCTGAGGTTCAGGACAAGTTTAACGACTTAACCAATGAACAAAGTAGTTGGTTTTGGAGCCAGTTCCCTGTGGAGGCTTCTGAATGGAGGACCCACACATTTGAATTCACTGTGCTATTTCCTTAACCTGTACTTATAAGGAAATTTTCCTCCTACTAATGCCTTAATCTCTATCTAAATTATGCAGGACTTGGGAATTACAAGATAGGAAATTTTCTTTTCACCTAAGCCTCAAGATCAGCCTAAGAGTCAGCCTTACTTTCCTATTTCCTGTGTAGCAGAAGAGTGTAGAATCCCATTCATTTACAAGGGCTCTGAAAGAATTAGGTGATGTGCTTTTCTACTTGTAAGTCACAGAATAAAGAATTCATTCAAACGTATACTGTCATACTGTTTTAAAATGAAAACTCATCTGTGTTAGTTAAGCAAAGATGGTAGAATTAACCCATTTTACAAATGGTGAACTATGCTACTAATTTGGTTTTTGAAAGTGTAGTTAATGATGTAAAATTTTCATACCCCCCAAAGTATTTACTGATATCAAATCAGACGCTATTATTAATCTTTAGAAGATATCTATAAAAATCATACTCAATTCAAAATGATTGTTAATCAAGAATTGACTAAAAATATTTTTTTCCCTCTTTTCTTTAGTTTAAGTGGAAGCACTTAATGTTACAAAACGAGGATATGAATTTGCTGGCAGTTTTAGTCTGACTTCTGCTGTCTCCTCCTCTCTCCAGTATGAATTAAACTGCAGACCTCTGTAAATGCAATGCAGCAGAAAACCACATGTTAGCCATCAGGGCTGAATTTTTTGTTCTGGGCCATGGAGAGGCTACCCATCAGTGCATAAAGGTCTGCCCACCTGGCCTTTTGGATCATAGTTCAGGCACACAATTAATTCATTATGAGCTAAGTCACTGCTTGCTTTTGAACTAGTCTTTCCAGCTTTGGAGGTGAATGTCCTGTCATTGACCTGAAGAAATACCTCTACTCTTTCAAACTCCATTAAATCACATTTCCTTCTGTTTTTTTGTTTTTTCTTTTTTTTTTAATGGTGGGGTGGAAGGAAAGATTTGTAGTGACAGAATATGTTCAACAATTAACTGAAAAGCTAGGGCATCCAAACATATATTTGTGACAGTAAAGCTTTTAGGGATATAAAATAGATTAAAACAATATAAGCAAATCCCTTTAATTGACATTCTTCATTATATATATTTTGAAATTTGAAAATATTTTCAGATAGAGTCTTTAAAGACACAATCTGAGGCACTGAATTTAATTTAACGGATCATAAAAAGCTTAAAGTAAAGAGAAAATCTCAGTTTCCATTTATTTCCAATATTGCGAATATATATTTCTTGGTTGTTCCTTTATGTTGTACTAAGTACTGTATGTGTATATACATATGTATTTATAATAAATGAAATATGTATCATCCTCTTTAGTAACAAACCATGTCACCTTCCCACTTCCTCTCTCCTGAGAGGTAACTCCGTGCTAAATTTTGTGTTACTCTTTTGCCTTTTTAAAATCTACTTATACTACATTTTTTCCCTATCAAAATACTGTGCTGCTGTTTCTGAACCTACAACATACTATCATGCTTTTTGCATCAACAATGAATTTCTAAGAATCATACATGTTGTTGAATATAGTTTAGTGTGTTATTTCCATTTTCCAAGTGTATAAAATTCATCCAGAGCCAATTAGTGTTTCTGCTGTTACTGAGAGTCACACTCTTCAAACTGAGAAATGGAAATCTAAAGTGTTTAAGAAATATTTGTGATCAAGTTGTTCTTTTCCGGGAAATTGCCTACAGAGTCACATAAAACTATCAACATGGAGACATAATTGCACTAATAGAAATACAATACCTATAAACAATAGTCCAAGAATCTCGCTTACATCTACGGCAACAAATATATGTGAAGTATTTATTCCATCAGGTATTGTGTTTTAGAAAGCATAATGAGAAAGAGAAAAAGAGACAACAGTATAGAAGGAAAAAGAAACAGAGGAAGAATCTAGAGATAATGTAGAGCCCTGACTTGGTATTCTTCAAATAGCTGAAAGATGGTTATAAGGAAGATGGCATCTATCTATTCTGCTCATCTTTCTTGAAAAATTGAGGGAACTCTTTGAAATCTAGAATGAAGGTGTATTCCCCTATACAGAATTTATATTTGCTTTTCCCAGAACCCTAGGAGAACTACAAATATGGGGCACTTTAAACCAAATAAAGGTTTGAGGTTACATAAATTTGGACTACAACTCCACGCAAGGACTAGCTTCTGGTTACAACTTCTCAGAGAGATTCTGCCTTGCTTTGGTCAGCACCAAGACACCTCTGCGGGTGTAGGGGAGCGAAATGTCAATGTACCATAGATATGGGCCCTTGGGATCCCAGCATAAGATTTGGAGAGTCTCCTATTAAATTATCCTTTTTGGTCAGTACTCTGCTTTGCCTTCTATCTCCTGAGATCCGTGAGGCTCTGAAAACCAAAACTAAAAACTCAAGTAACTAAAAGTTGGCAGAGCAAAAGTGACTTAATTGCCTTCAGTCCTTTGCTTATCAAGGATAACCTCCGGGTTTCTGCTTTCGATTATATTTTGGCCTGATAATTTTATGATCTATAAATAATTTATTATTAATGTGTGTGCATATGTGTATGTGAGTGTGTGTGTATGAAATTATAGAGACATTGATTGTGGCATAAGGTACAGGAAACATTTCTATCAGTCAAGCTCCCTGTCTCAAATCAACTGAGTTTCCTCAGGAGATAGTGAAGTGAGTTCCTTGTTAAGCAGAAGAGTTCTAGAAGAAGTTTGATTACATATTACATATAGGAAAATTACATATCAGGAAAGCTATACAAGTGATAGCTATACAAATTACATATCAGGAAAGCTATACAAGTGATCCAAGAATCAGAAATTTGATCAGTCTCTTTCAGTCCCAAAGTACCATGACTCTTTAAAATAAGGGGAAAAGCATGTCACCATTACAAATGAGAAGTTATTGCACAAGCTTTCCCTGAATGATTGGAAGGCATTATAATGACAGAAAAATAAAACTGAAAATTTCAGTCAATTGATGGTGACTTCAAAACAGCTGATTCCATAGGAGAGGCTATTTCCAGTCTGTTGCCTTTGCTTACCCTAATACGGAAACTAGATAGACAAATTCTTGCTGACTCTTAATTTACTTTCCTCTATTCTTATATCACTGGTTTCAATAAATCATGTATTCAAAAACAAATGTTATTAAGTTGACTGCATACAATCAGAAAAAATTATCACGTGTTACTTTAGACCAATTTCCTTTAATATTTCATTCTTTAAGGACAAAGTCCCTATCTTATTCATCTTTATATCCCCATTGCCAGGCAAAATAACTGGCACATAGTAAGTCCTCAATAAATGTTTGCTTAGTGGAGCACTATGTTCCTCAACTATAATACTCCAATCATTATTATTTTTTCATGATACTTAAGGTCAAATGGACAAAACCTACCTTGCTCCATTGTTCTTCTGTAAGGTTTGCATGAGATTGTTTTTACATACTGATGGGTCTACTCCCATTGGATTAATCAAGAACCAAGCAGAAAGACTACTGAGTTGCATGACTTCTGGTCAGTGTGTACTCAGCATCACTAAAAGTGGGTTTTTTTTTTTGTATTATATTTCAATATTTTCAAATCCAATTATCATCCAAACTTGTAAATAAGATCAAGTTTACTCAATTCCACTCATTATCAACCTACAAGAAAAATAACTAAGAACAGGTGGCTTTAAACTTCAAATTCAGAAATATCACTTTGTGTTAGAAAATTAATTGAGGAGGATCTGATTTTTAAAAGAACCAAAATAATTAGTCTTACCTCAGCATGAGGAGTAGGTGGCAAAACCGAAGTCTCATTTTCAGTAACATTTCCAGTAGGCCCATTGTTTGGTGAACTGGGACCAGACCCTGGAGAACTGCTACTGACTGAGGATTCTGAAAAATATTGTGAAGTACAAATATATTCATGAAAAACATCCAAAGGTGAACTTTATTACAATCTAAATAATATACAGCATTGAACACTGTTTTTACCTCCTAACTGAATGACAAATGCCATTTCACTAAATAAAAAGAAATGTGAACATTTTAGAAACATTTCACCTAAGTTTGTGGCCTTATCCCTTTTTTCTTTCCCTTCATTCAATATTGTGACATCAACTATCATCTTTAGGCAGAATATGCTCATGAAAGTTATATTTCTGCCCTATACCTCTCATAAATGCCAGCCTGAATCTCTTTGGAATTCTGGATATTTTCAATTTCCTTTTACATGTGTATCAAATTCACTGTTTGCCAGTATTAAAAGTGCCCTGCTTATCTCTATTTGTCACTATCCTTAGAGTCATTCTCACTTCCTTCTTTACCCAAAATCTAATTAGGTACTAGGTCATTTCATTTTGTTCTTTACATTATCTCACATTTACTTCTGACTACAATTATTTCAGTTTAAGTCCTCAACCTCAGTATTCTTTCGTAGACTATAGCAAAAGTCTCCTAATATTTCTGAGTTGCTACAGTACTCTCTCAAAACTACGCTTTAAACTGTTGCCAAGAAGATGGATCATAGTGAGACAAATTTCACCACGTTCCTGTTGACCAATAAAGATCTGATGCTGTAAAACAGTTTTAAAGTTTATTTGGAATCTAAAAAAATTCAAATCTGGGCGATATGGATTCCAGAGAAGACCTAAACTGTGCTCTGGAGAAAACAAAGATTGCCAGAGCTTATAAAGGCAAAAACCACAAGCTGAAATAAAAGAAACTTTTCCCATTGGCTTCTTAACATGGTGTGATGGTTGGTTCAGAAGGATTTGGACAGGTCCAGGTGATGAAACTCTGAGATAAGGGGCAAGTCCAGGATGTATTTCTAGGGTGACACGAAAGTCCAAGAGTCCAAACCTCATCTGAGTGCAGGTGGGTGTAAGTCTGACTGCCCTAATGAACTCCAAACTCCATTTTAGGGCTCCCTAATATTAGTACTCCACTTTAAAGATTTCGGTTCCATTCTTCTCCTTCAACATGGAGCCTAACACGATTTCCAACTATTTATTGCCCTTTCTGTGTTTTGCACAGATTTAAATCACCTATTCTCCATAAGTGCCATTTCCCCATTTTATGCTTTTTTATCCACCTCTTCCTTTTCCATTTTCCACCTCTTCCATTTCAGGTCCCATCCCACTTCTAAGCTCAAAGCCTGGCTCATGTATCATCTGTTCTCCAGTGAATGGGAACTCCCAATCTGCAGGCAATAGTTCCCTCCCCTAGAACACCTATAAGTTTCAACTTTCTACTATAAATATTTCCCTACTCAGAAGTGCCATGCCAATGGCAAGAACATGGGATTGGTGTCAGAATTTTGATCCTGCCACCCACTAGCTGTGGGATTTCATCAAGTCATTGGTATCATAAAATTCTTAAAAGCATCTTCTCACTATTTTTCTGTCTATAGATCCTGCATGTATTTTGATTAATCTGCTTTTATCTTTGCCTCTTTCTTGGTTACTTTTCTTTTAATGATGAGAATACACATTTAAAAAAATTCTTCTAGGGCCTTCCATTCCCCCTAGACTCCTAATTCTTGTCTTTTTTGTATGACTAAGTACTGATTTCTCATTAATGTTTCATTTCCATCTTAAAAAAATAAGAATGAAAAAATGCTTATCTTAAACATTCTGTCTTGTCGATTTAAAAACATACTATTTTCATTATTTTATGTGATATTCAGACATATTTCCCTATGTAGAAATCTCTGTGATAAGCACTAGAATTCAAGTCAATAAATACTGTAACAGGATTCTTCAACATAACACTGGAAAAAGTCTGGAAAGGGAGGTAGCAGCTGATTTTCTGAGAACACTGAGAAAATCTCAGAAAAGAAATGCTATTGCAACTGGGGCTTGAATAAGAGTGGTTTATGACATGGCAATGGAGAAGCGGGGAGTGGAAGAGAACACACTGAAGGCACAGGGATGCCCCAAGGCTTAGAATTTTAAAATAACATGGTAGGGAGAGGGGCAGAAACCTTTCAAATTTGAAAAAGAGGAAGATGGCCAGTGGTTCCCATGACAACTATTGGTAGGAGAGAGGTGGCATGGGTTTGACAAAAGCAGACATTAAACCTCTGAAATGGGGAAGAGAGATATAGAGGTGAGAGAAGAAAAGCAATAGTAATTTAACTGCTATGATCCTACGATGGTCTCTGACTAGATTGCAAAAATCATCAGTATTAAGATCCAAACAGAGCTCATTCAAATTACATGAAAGCTGGCAGAGAAAGGACGAAGGTAGGTGAAGAAAGCTGTATGTCTGGTAGTTTACATCCTCTAAAGACATTTAGAATAAGTGTATCCAACCATTTAAAAATATCTACCAAATCCCCACAAATCCCAGCTCACTGACTAGAAGTGTGCATCTATTAAATGCACAAGCCTCTCTTGCTATATATACATTATTTCCTCAGATGAAATGGGGAGTCATTATCTCACAAAATTAGGAAGAGGAAAACATGATATTTCAAAAGTAGAGAAACGAATAAAACTCCAGCAAATCATAACCTTTATAAATGAGAATTAATCATTACTCAGATATGTATTGAGCTAAATTCTACTGCAATTTGGTAAGAAAGAAAATATAACTGTGGAGAAAAAGTTATGATCAAGAAAAGAGATTAATAATAAAACAAAAGAAAATTGGGATAAATAAATATGACCTTAGATAATGAGATTTTAAAGCAAAAAAAAAAAAAAGGCAATGTATATGGTTTTCTATTTACTTCAAGTTTTTCTATTATGAGGGAGCTTCCTTGCTCCAATTAGAAAAATCAACTATATCTATTTATATTAGACAAATAATATGTATATTATCCTTTTCATTCATTAAAACAGATTCGTTCCCCAACTTTCCACCTCCACCAAGAATCTCTGTTATGAAACCTTACTTAAGATTTTTACTTACATACGAATATGTTTCTTGCAAAAAACGTCTATAACTCTGAATTTAGAATTCAAGTAGTCTAAGATAGTGATTATTTTTGGTATTGGAAAATAAATATAAACTCTAATAAAATAATTTTTGTTTACTGATTTAATATTTCTTATCCCTTAAGGAAACATTTCCCACTAATACTCTTCTTCAGATAAACATAATAATTTGCTAGGATTGAACAGGAGACTAAACATTTTCCCCCTCTAAATAACCTGTCAGACTAATAAGCTGCATTAGTATTATATACTTCTCCACCTCTGCTTCCACAATCTTCTCCATATTGGCTCCCAAATCTAGATACTATCATTGCCAGAGGAGATATAGAAAACAAATAATTTTTTAAAATCTCCTAAGGATAAGATCTGATCTTGGAGAAATAATATATCACCTGACTAATTGGTATAAGCACAATTTTCCTTGAGAATAGAGAAAAATGGCTGCAGATTATCACTTTTTTTATTGATACAACCAAAGGAAATGATCAGCTACAATGCATAGTTCTAAGTAGGCATTCAATAAACAGTAGTCAGTATTATTGTTTTGGCTAGCCTTTTTAGTTCTCGGATCCCTAGGTCTTCTCTAATTTCAGACCAAGTACAATTGGGGCTAGGAGCTTTGTAAGACATCAGGTTGAATTTCCTAACCTGTTCACCCCACTACTAACCAAGCAGCTAAAAAAATATGAACTCTTCCATTTGAGACTAGTGAAAATGACAGATTCTTTCCCTTCATAAAAGGCAATATATCCCCCTCCTGCCATAAGTCCCAGCTCACTAGTAAACACATAAAGTCATTTATGAGTTCTGTAAATTTGTTGAAAAGTCAAGGTTTTGCTGTTCTATGTAGTTTAATTTTCCCAGATGTATTTTGTACATTTATGTCTGAGTATGGGGGAAGTGTTCTTCTTGGACCTCCCTCTGCTCATTTCTCATCAAATTTCATTAAAAGTTATATTTTCCTGGTTGGCATTCCCAAAATGGACTGCCCATTTCTGAAAATATTAAGGTGAGCTTTGGCATTCCTTAGTTATGCCTAGATTGACACAAAGTTCTGTTTTTCATTCATTTCCTGTTTAACACAGTTGGCGAATGCATGGCAAGGTTTACTGAACTACTTGTGAGTTTTCAATATAATTTCCTTTCAAGAAATATTTCTCCTCAAAATAACTTTTAATATGCAACAGGCATCTTTATTCTAAACTATTTTTTTCATTACTACTACCAGCATTTTTTAGTGTTATGTCTGCCCAGTCCTCAATTACCTGTCACCTCAAACATACGCTTCTTGAATGAAGTGACATTTCCATCCTTCCGCCTGAGTAAGGGGCTGCTTCTCCTCTCTGCCACTTTCTGTTTTAACCTGGACCGCACCTTCAAGTTGGGCTCAGAGGCTGGGGATTGAGACAAAGAAAATAGATAAAAATTAAAAATAGAGAGCCAATTGCTCTTGTGTATAAAAAACGGCTCACTCTTCTCTTGGTCCCTTCTTATCTCAAATTAAAACCCAAAGCGTGTAAATAAGGCATTAACTCTAAATTAAGTAAATGACAAATGTAGTAATTATTTTTATGAAATGTACAAAATGCTTTTCTACTTCTCTAAATGCAAAATGGAAAAGGAGTGAAAATATGTTTTATACTTATTTTATCTAGCAGAATTGAGATTGTTAATGGGAAGTTTAATCACTAAATATGTTTTGGTCAGAGTAAGATTTATTATACTTCATTTCAGTCCTTTTAATTCTCTCAAGGGTGAAACTCAATAACCACAAAAACAGTACCCTAATGTGTTTTTAGAGACTGTGGGCTGACTACTGGTAATAAGAGGAATCTCGGTAGCATATAGTTCACGTCTTAATTCTGACTTCTGGAATATTTGTCAGTAGTTTCTAACCTGAAAATCTGGGGAAATATACTCAGCATAATTACATCAAAACAAATGGAATCACTATTAGTAAACTTTTCTATACAATGAATGTACGGTCAACTAGAAAAGAAGGTTGGCCAAGTCTTAGAATTGGAAGTTGCGAGTTAGGTTATATGTTCCAAAATAAAATGCACATTATTCATACATATGTTGTTTTTTCTTTGGTTAAACTATTCTAAATAGTGATGCTCTTCAAAGAGACATTATTTATTAGGTTTTTAAGTAATTATATTTTAGAGGAATGGAAACATTGGGTTGAGTTTCTGTGTAGTAGAAGTCAATGACAATGATGATGATGATGGTGGCAGTGGTGTTGATGTTTATGGAAAGGATGTTTCCGAAAATAGCTAACATTTATATGGCGATTTCTACTTTCCACTACTGTTCCAAACACTTTGTTAATATTACCTTGTTTAACCATAAAAAATCTATATAGGTAGATTCTATTTATACCTTGATTACATCAATAAGAAAACTCAAACACAGAGAGGGTAAGTAACTTGCCCAAGGTCATATAGGTATAAAGGGATGAAGGCAGGATCTGTACCCAGGTAGTCTAGTTCAAGTCTAGTCTTCTAAACACTGAAAATATTGCTCCACCACCTTTCCTTACATATGGACACCATAACAATTATAAAACATTATTAAAGCATTACTAATCATCTATATCAGATATGATGATAAAATGTAGCTAGAATTTTTGATCAATAAAAATGATTTCTTTGAAGGAATTTTATATTTTGCCAGACGACAAAAAGTGTAAAAAGTAGAACTTAAAATTATTTATTTATTTATTTATTTATTTATTCATTCATTTATTTATTTATTTATTGCTTTTAGACATCAAATATCTATACCTTAGTTTTCTGTTTATTCTTTTCTTTTTCCCTTCCCTGCAGCGTTACCTTGGACTGAGACTTCTTGCGTCCTAGGTTTTCTTGGAACTGGCTAAGTCAATAGGAATTTGAAAAGAAATATTCAGTTACCGAAAATAAAATGAGTTAATTTTTTCAATTTGTACAACTGATTTAATTGATGAAAATACAAAAATGAAAATGCAAAAGCAAAAATGAAAAAGCAAAAATGGAGTCCTAAAAATATTGTAAAAGTAGGAGATGGGAGGGGGTGGAGGATGGGAAGCAATCAAGATCCAGAACAAAACTCTCAATGACATAGTGCCTGAAATGGGCTACTTCCTGGGCCTCCCACTTTGAGGCAAAGAAGTTACACAGTTTTGGGGAAGAATTAGGATGCTTGCCAGACCTGCCAGGAGTATCGGCCCACTTTATCTTAGTGGAGAAGTCTGAGTCTGGATTAATAGCATCCAACTCACCCAGGATTAAAGGGAGAAAATAGTACTATATTAATTTACTTAAACTTTTCCTCCTCTGAATATTTATTTTAAAATTCCTTTAAAAACACCAATTTTTGCCTCTAAAAAGCTACAGGTTAATAAATATATTCATCTAAAACAAAGAAAGGAAAAAACAAGGAATCTCTAACAATATTGGTATCTGCTGTCACCTTGCTTTATTACACTAAGATTAAAATCACAGATTCTGACTTTTATCTAGGCAGGATTTTATGATGAAACCTAATGGATTAAATATTACAGATTGGCTGTCCAGAGGGAATAGATATATTGATTAATCACTTCAAAAGGGGGAGTAGAAAAGGCACTTCGTTTTCAGTGGGAAGATGTGGAGTTGAGTCCACCTGGTACCACTTCTCTGCTATGGGATTTTCATGAGACTCTAGTGCATACTGAACCTGACTCTTCATTTGTGAAACATGAAAGTCTAACATCTTCTTTATTTCATAGAGCTGTGACTACCTGATTAGATACCGGAGAATAATTGTGAAGATCTGGGTGAATGCAAAAGAAAAGAAAAAGTTCAGAGAATTTTAATTATCGCTACTACTGTTGTGGCTGGCACAGTTAGCAATGACAGAGCCAGTTGTGGGGCCTCAATTTCCTGATTCTCAGTCCAGTTTGCCTCTCTCTCCTGAAGCTTTGCACCAGCTGGGGTCGAGAGTCCACAATCAAGAAAAAAATGTGCCAATAACTTGGAAAAACAGCAGATGCCATTTAAACATTCTACATGAAAGCTAGAATTCATCAGCTTTTCAAAAAAAAAAAAAGTGACTTTTCAGGTTGGCCGATAGCCATCATTTTTATGTTTGTCTATTTAGGAATGGGCTGGATACACAGCTCTTAAATTTCTCTCCGTGGTCAACATAAAAAAATGAACACCAGATTAGGAATGAGAACTAGGTTCTGATTGTGTATCTGTCAGCTACTAAAATCAATAATCTTGAATAACTCATAGCCTCACTCACTGAATTTCTGTTCATTCATGCCAATGAGCTTGAGTTATACCTTTGTAGAGTATGTCAATAGGTGTGCATTTCAATATCTGCTCCATGTATTAGCTATTTGACTTTGGATGCATTACTTTATATCTATAAACTCAGTTTCTCATATTAAAATTGGGGATAGTTTTTTTTGTTTGTTTGTTTGTTTTTGTTTGCTTCCATTTGTCCCAACAAATTCCATTTTATTTCTTTCTTTTGATCCCATGGAAGCTGAATCCTGGGGTTACATTACTCCGATATTTTGCGGGTGAGATTTCTCAACCTCCCGGTAGGACTGGCTAGTGATCAAAGGATTAAGGAGGGAGGGACCAGGGTGTTCTGTGCTCTCTGTGCTACAGTGCTGCATCATGGGTTACAGTTTTGTCTCTTCCTGTTTCATCTCCCTCCAGAAGCCCTCTGCTCCATGGCTCCAGCTTTCCCAGTACGCTGGGAACACTATCTCCTCTCCTTGCTTCTTCAGCCCTAGGGGTGAGAATGGCTTCCTGTTGTTGCTATTTTCTGGGTACCTCAACATCCCTTAGTAATTGTAAGTAGTCCCTTTATAAAAGTCTAGGACCCATATTGTGTAGGTTCTATTTCTTGCCAAAACTCTGATTAACACAGTCCTACACATTTTGAAAAGTTATTATAGAATCAAATGAAATAATGTCTAGTAGAAGATAAATTGGTGGCTCTCAACCAGCTAAAATTTTGACACCAAGGGACATTTGGCAATGATTGGAGATATTTTTGATTGTCAGTATGAGGAGTTGCTACTGGAGTTTAGTGAATAGGAATATTTCTAAATACCATACAATGCACGGTACAGTCCTCGCAACAAAGAATTATCTAGACTCAAAAGCTCAATATTGCTAAGTGTGGGGCCAGCAATCAGTAAATGGTAGTTGTTAACAATTGTACAGCAATGGGACAGCCAAAGGAGATAATAATATCTGTTAGAGATTCTAAAAGAGGATGCAAAAGAGAGTAAGGGAAGACAGGAAAGATGATCAGAAATCAGAGAGTGCTATAAGTAGCTTGAAAATATTAAATATTTCAATGCATTTTATACTTAGAAATGTTTTAAAACATTTTTAATACCACAGTTGTTTTTAAAGAAAGAAAAGTTAGTCAACTTCTATTGGTTATGGAGATATGCAGAAAGACAAAATTTCTCAATTTGGGGAAGGGTAATATTTGAGGCATTGTCATAATTTTTCCTTTATCAATTGAGGACATAGTTTTTTCAGAACTAGAAGTTACTGATATTCTAGGAAGTTCAACATGAATTTATTTCCTCAAAATAACCTACGTGCAGCTTTTCTAAGTAAAGTTCCATATCCATGGAACTAAAAAACTTTCACCTGTATTACTGGTTTTGAGTCACCAGAGACATTAGAATGTCAGTGGTGAGGGCGAAGGGTGGAATGATAGATAACCATCATTTAGTCCTTGCAATGCTTTATAAATTCACTCATAACATTTTAGAAGCCCACACACCAAAGCTCAGCATGATATATACCCAAGCAGTAAAATTAATAACCTATTGTGCTGACTCAGTGTGTAGTGTGAGTTAATTCCATTTTTTAATGCTCTGGCCTCCCTAAAGTCTGAAGATTTTCATTCCAGGGACTTACTAATGGAATGCAAATTCTCAAGAGCCTAGAAAGAGATCACTAACTGGGGAGACATTTTACTTGTATTTGAATGTATTTCATGCCTTGTTGCACTAATTGCCTTTCTATCTTTACCCCACACCCATCACTCTCTACATCTCAATTAATCACAGAAAGAGAAGCAAGCTTTTTGGTGCCTGTGCCTATCTAAATGCATTTGTCTGCTGAGCTGGAAACCTTGCATGAAAAATTGATTATCATTATTTAAATGAAACAATATTAAAATAAAGAGGACAGAACTAAAACCTTTTTCTCTTTTTACTTAAAAGAAAAAAGTAATAGGAAACAGAAAACATGTAAAGAATGCTTCATAAGCCAAATGTATTGGAAATCTTTCTTCTCATACTGATCAATCTCCACGGTGCAGAATGAACTTAGGTATGATGGGGTATGAGAATAAACAAAAGTAATGTAATAGTAAAGATAGGTAGCAG